CTATCTTTACCATTCTCTGTCCTGAGTACTTTAGCTGCCAAACATTCCCTGGGCTCTCAGCTTTGTCTCTTTAGTTCAGAGAGTTTGCTAGGCTCTGTCTTAATTTCTCCTTTCTGTTTGTGGCCTGGAAAATCTCTCAAGGCGGTAAGCTGGGGCTACCAAAGGGGCTCATCCTGTTTGCTTCCCATTTCTCAGGGATTTCTGTTCCCTGATTGCCTGATGTCCAGTGCTTTCACAACCATTCATAATAGATTTTGTCCATTTTTTTTGTTGTTTCAGGTAGGAAAAATACCTGGTCTTTGTTACTCTGCCTTGGTTGGAACCAGATTACTATTTTTAATAAGACAGTTGTTGCTGAGAGTTTGAAGATAATGAAATTGAAATAAAACACAGCCAGTAGTTTACAATGGCAGCCATATGCAGATACATTTTGAGTCCAGAGGTACTGCTGAAGTCTTGTAGATCCTAATCATGAGTCCATACAGCAGCAGTGGCTAGCTTTTTGGCCCTTTCTTCTGCCATGATAAAACATTAAAAAAAATAATAATACAAGACATTTTCTCTTCTTGCAAACTGTTTCAAACATTTTAAAGGAAGGCCTTTTTCTTATTTTTTTTTTCATCTGTCTCTTTAGGACCTAGTTGATGTCATCCTCCCCTCTTTTCTGCCAAAAGGAAAGCAGTATGTTCCAAAGTTAAATTCAAGCTATAACCGCTTAAGGGATTTCAAATTTAAAATGGTTGTTTCTCAATTAAAAACAAATAAAACCAACCCCTTAGAGCCCAGTCTCAGCCTGGGAACCCCATTATACCAGAGTATGTTATTATATATTGAATCAATTAATATGCACTAGTGCATGTTACATGTGTATGGTATATTCAAATACACACAGACCGGCTGCCAGAGGCAAATACTAGAAATAGTAATTGAATCATAAATATAATGTTAATTATAAAAGTTGGAGGAAATTTAATCTTTAGTACTTATCCCTTTTCATTTTGGTTGTTCCCCTTTCTCCTTTGGATGTCTAGCTTATATGATTTTTATGGTTTATAATCACTTTTAGAAAGTGGAGTTGTATTTCTAAATGCAGCAAAGGAACTTGCTGTTTCAAAGAACCATGTAGGTATCTTTTATAAGGTGAAGAATATTTTGCAATGTGTCTATTTGGTCAAGAAATTCTGGGATTCATTCATATGATCATATATAATTTTTACAAGTCAGATTTTTATATATTCAGAAGCTTTAAAAATTTACTTATATATGTACAAGATATATTATAATGTAATATATGTATAAAATGTATAATATATTACATGTATTATTTATGTATCTATGAGATATACCTGTATCACTCTTTGTAGAGTATATATCCTTAGTACATTATTCAAGCAGGCATTTTGAATTGAACTTTTTCTTTTTTAAGATTAAAAAGAGCCTATTTGATAGGAAAGGAACAAAATGAATCCAGTAGACAGGAACTTTCTGAACCTAGTTTTTGTGGTATTTTCAAGACCTTTACTAAATTGCTTTTATGTACAAAGTTTGATTTCTTAAAGGAAAAAATATAGCTTATTTATATATTTTAGAAGTGAAATTTTCCATTCATTAAACTTCAAAATAGAAATATTATAAAAAAGAATGGGAATGATATTTTAAAAGGATAGACTCCCTATGTCTAGACTTTATAAAACACGGATACTAATACTCTAGATAAAAAGGAAACTTTTTGCACTTTTTATTTCTATTTATTTAGAAAAATAACCATTTTCTCCTGACAGAAGTCAATATGACAGTGAATTTGCTTAATTCTATAAACTAGCATCTTTGTCAATAGTTGGAACATTTGCTCTTATCTAGAACCTTCCTTTGTGTGTCTTTTCACACCTCAGGCAGAGGTAGGTCCTTCCTGTGCTTCTTAGTAGTTTATACTGGTCTCTGAGCCCTGCTCAGATTATATCACAGTGTTTATTGATTCTCATTTGTCTACCCCTGGGGCTGCAAAATTGATTTCTATATCCTGGATTCCTAGGATGGAGCTGTGTTATATAGGGAACAACAAAGGCTTGTCAAAGGAAAGTTGAATGATGTTCATTGACATGTTCATTCACCAACACACATTCATTGTACTGAATACAGGCAACAGAGTAGGCACTATTCTAGACCCAGGGATTACCGTGGTGACCAGGAGTAGTGCAGATCTTACTCTCACTGGCCTTGATTCAGAAGAAAAGACAGGCTTTAATATAAGGCATTACAGTAAATGATGATGAGGGTTAGGATAGGAAGCAAAGAATCCTGCTGTAAGTCCTGCTTTAGAAATGGTGGTCTAAGGTTTCCCAGAGAAAGTGGTGTTTAAACTGTGGCCAGAAGTATGGGCTGAAACCAACTGAAAGGGTTGGGAGTATTGCAGGGGAGGAAGGGCAGTGAGTCCAGTAACAGGAAGTTTACTTGCTGCATTTTATTGATGTGCTAATATATTAATGTACTTCTTCCAGCACTGCTATTGGTTGACTCTTCATATCACCTTAGTGGACACAGATAGTTCTTTAGCACTTAAATGATCTTTTTTGCATATGCCTCTTTATCCAATTGTTCAATATCCAAACATTTTCCAAGTCAGAACACATACTTCTTTTTTGATATATATTTAGTTTTTGTATATGAAGTCAAAGACAGTATTCTACAAAGGCTATCATAATTTTCCAATTCAGAATCATGACAAGAAAAGATAATCTTGTTTTTTGTGGAAATTCACCTGCTCTCCAAATATTGAAGGTTGCTTTAATTTTTCATAGTCTACTAGCAGCAATTCTGATTTTCAGAGAAAAACATAAATATCACTGCTTACTGGTCTTAAAAACATGCCATCTCTATTAGAAATTGCCTGAGAAAATAATAGCTAATATTTGTTGAGTGCTTTCCATATTCAGATACTGTGCTAAATATATATTATGAACTATATCTCATTTAAACATATCAGAAATACTGTGAGATAAATAATATTTGTATCCCTTTTCTGTAAAGGAGGAAACAGAGTATTTTGTATACAAGGTCTCAGACCTGGAAGTGGTAGATAAGAATTTGATCTCATCAGCCATATCTGACTTCACACTGATTTGTTAATGTGGTATTGCTTAAGAGAGATAAATGTGTTTCAGACCTTCTTCACAGATTTTGTCCATTTTCAGGAACCATTCTTTGTTATATTTAAAAAAAATAATTTTATTTTTTAAATTTTGAAGTTCATGAATAAGTGAAAGCTAAAATTTTCATGGAGTAAAGTTGTTAAGTCAGACCTTTTAATATATTATTGGTGAGGTGGTTGTGCTTTGGAGAATTTTTTGGCAGTATGTATCAAAACCTAAAATTCATTTGCCCCTTGACTCAGCAATTCCACTTTTAAGAATTTATCCTACGGCTAAATAAACTTGCTCATGAATGCAAAAGTATATGTCATGGGTATTCTTTGTAGTACTGTTTGAAATAAGGAAATTTGGAAATGATTTATGTGTTTAAGAGGGGCATGGAAAATAAGTTATAGTGTATCAGTAAGCTGTAACTTTATTCAAAGCATTAAAAAGAATGATAATCCCAGCTAACCAAGTGTTTACTAAGTTCTAAGCCCTGCTTTTATTTAATCTTCCTAAAAATTTCAGTTATTATTGTTATTGTCTCCGTTTACACAGAAGAAAAATGAGGCATAGAGGTTAAGTGACTTGTCCAAGGTTGTAGGACAGAGACATTCAAACAGAATAGTTCAGAGTTCACACTGCTAATCATTGTGCTTACTTAACTACCTCTTGGTCATCTCTGTCCTGACATGAAAAAGAGAGAAAACTGATAAGTGAAAAGAATAAATTGTAAAGGTTTTTATAGTATGATACCATTTATGAAAGGGATCTCTATCTTCTACATCTTCCATTTATAACATATAAAATTATCTGTATGTTTTCTTATGACATAAAATCTTTATATATATATATATAATATAGTCATATTTATGAATGTATATGAATATGTGTGAATGTACTCACAAAATACAGATATAGCACATGTATAAATATATGCACATAAATATACACATATATACATATGCACACCCATAAAACATACATTCATGGAAAAATTTCTGGATAGATATATAAGAACTTAATGGATATTTTTTGGGATTAGTGTGGAGACTTTAACAAAATTTTCACTTTATACTCTTCAGCTGAATTATTTAAAAGCTATGAGCACATACTGCTTTCATAATACAGATTTAAATTTAAAAATTAAAAAATAGTGGATATGGTAATTCTTTAACAGTTATGTTACCAGAGACAGTTAAAGAGGGACCTTTTCTTTTCATTTTATACCCTTCTGAGTTGTGAATTTAAAAAATGAATGAGTACATGTTGCTTTTATAAAAAGCATTGCATTTTAAATGAAGAAGCTTAAAATAGTGGACATATTTCTCTACATTCTATAAAATATTTCTGTGATTAAGTTTGGGATACAGTTTATTAATTATGTTGACAGTTTAGGATAAATATGCCTATGTTAAACTTTTATCAGACAGCTGCTCTCTTATTTTCTTAAAGGCAAGCTGTTTTCTAACATCCATTGAGTTGAAAAGTAACTCAATGAAGATTTGCCTTATTTTTATAAACAAGATCGTTTCCAACTGAAGTCTTAGTAAAGAAACCTTTCACAGCAAATGAGATTCAGCAGATGCAGAAGTTGACAGCAATTTTACTAGATGTTGCCAGTCAATTGAGCACAGTTCTCTTCTAGGAAAATGGTATCATGCTTCTTAAACTCCAGAACATTTATCAAAAACAAATGTCAGTGTGAAACTGCATTGTCTATTAAGAGACAATGTTCTCGTGTCAACTGGCAGTATTTTAAAATTATGCTTAGTCATGGAATGTACTTGGAATTAGTTTGGATGATAAATGTCAAAACAGGAGTAACAGAAACTTAAAGTATAATATATTTGGGGTTGTGTTTTTCAGGTGAAGCTCTGAAAGGATCAGCTGAGAGATTTGCTGATGACCCCTGTTACCTCCCTAAAAGGGAAGCTGTTGTTCAAGCTGCCCGCGCCTTGTTGGCTGCGGTTACCAGACTCCTTATCCTTGCAGACATGATTGATGTTATGTGTCTCTTGCAGCACGTGTCAGCTGTAAGTAAAAAATGGCTTAGTTTACCTTAGCTTTGTTCTCAGTTCTAATTCCATTCTCTGAAGATGGCATCAATCCTAGTGCACATCCTGGCCACACCCTCATTTCTTAAGATCACTCATGAGAAGCTGACTAGATTGGATTGTGAAACTAATGTGTACCTCAAAAGAGTGAAGCAATAGTTAGTCTTAAAGCCAATGGGAAATTGAAAAACAGAAACCTCCTGAAAACGAAATAGCCAGGAGAAAGTTCTAGACTTTTGATCATTTAAATTATTATGTTCTGTATAAATATATAAAGAAACATATACAATAGCATAATTATATAGAGAATAAAAATAATAAATGTATAAATATAATTTGAGAAAGAGAAACTAAAGCTGAGGACATTTGGAAGTTTATTTTGTGTGCAAATGAATACTTTGCAAGCTCTTTCTGATCCAACATAAACAGTACACGTTTATAGGTAGTCTGTGATATCTGTAATAATCCATTATGAAAATGTATAAATGGATTTAATATGAGTAAAGGATATATTTTAACTGGGAGTTACAAAGGAAGCATGGTATATTGCTTGCCTTTTCCTACTAGACAAATCCATTTAGAAAAGGTTTAGTAAAAAGAGAATTTTATTAAAACTTCTTTTACTTTCTTAATTTGTTTAGTTTGACCAAGTCATTAATAGTGTCCAGATGAAAAAATTGCAAAGAACCTCTTGGAGTCTCTACTCTATCCCCTCCTAAATAGGACCCTTTTTCTTCTGTCCATAAATACATCTGCATTTTCATAGAACTGCCATTAAGCAAATGATGGCCTTGTCTGATTGACCCTTGTCAAAATAATTTTCTGAAATTAATAAGCTAAACCCTTTGTTTGCATTTTTATCTTACCGACTAATGCTTATTTTAATCCTAATATAGAGTGACCTACCCTTTATACTTTTATATTATTTCTCTTTTTATAGCTTTTACTGCAGAAAAGCAATTTGGCACTTTCTTTTTTGCTGTTTAAATAACATTTTATGAAAGGGATTAGTTAGCAGCAGCAACTGTCAAGTAGGGGATTGTAGGTGAGATAATTGAGCAGTGTTTCTTCTTACTTGGTTGTTGGTTTGTTGAATACTTTAAACAAATCCCTGAACATTTCTGAGATTCATTTTTTTCATATGTGAATACAGACACTAATAAATGCTATAACCAAGAAGTAGGTATGGAAGATTAAATAACAGGTAATTCTTAGCCCAATAACTCAATAATTCCTATATTTTTAGACTCTAGACTTGTTGAGATGGGACAGAATGAAAGGCTTTTGTAAATTGCCTTGTGATTTTGAAAACTGCCACCTTCATAATAAATTAGGAGTTCACACACACACACACACACGGACTGCAAGCACCTTCACTACTACTTTGAGTGCCACTAGCTGGTAGGCACAGTGGTGGGTAGTTTACATACATCATGCCATTCAAATGAAGCAGGAGTAAATTGTAGATCAAAGAAAAGAAAAGTACAATTTTTTTGCACTAAAAATTATAGTTAATACTTACTGAGTTTTTAATAAATGTGCTAAGTACAGTCCTGGATTATCTCCCTTAATTCTATCCTCACAACAGCCTGATGATTATAGTTCTTATTTTACAGGTGAAAAAATTGAGGCATATTGAATTTAAGTGACTAGCTGAAGCAGTAGTGACAAAGAACTTTTGAAACTAGTGAGAAATATTGCAGTACAGGAACTTATTTAACTTGGCTTAACCCAGAGTTTCCCCAGTTTTTTGGCTCTAGGACTCTTCTATAATATATTAATTGTGGAACTTTCTCAGACCATACTTTGGGAAATAGTGGTTTAGAATATTTAATAGTATTTATGGTTATATTAAATTTCTACTTGTAATAAAATAATTCTAGTGGAGAAACTTCAGTGCCCTTATGGTCTATCTTGCTGAAGTAGATAGATTCTCTCCCACAATATGCACTATGTAGAACTTTCTAACTATATATGTGATCACTGAAAATGATAGTCATCTCAATTCTGTGAGATAGTGAACCTGATTTTGGACAGTTCTAATTGTTGCATTTTTCTCAAATTAAGCTTAAAGCCACCTCACTGCTATTTCCATTCACTACTTCTAGTTTTGCATTTTGGAGCAACTCAGAATCAAGGCAGTAGGAAAAGATTTTTCAAATAACTGATGTTTATTTTTAGTATTTACCTATGTCTCCTCTTATCTAGGCTAAAAATTTCTTGACCCTTGGACACTCTTTGTATGACAGTTTCAGACTATCTGAATACTCTGGAATTCCCATATATTCTATGATTTTCAATTTCCTGTTGAAATTAAAAATTTTGATTTTAATATACTTGAACATGATAAGCAGATGTTTTTATGGTAAACATTTAAAATCTTCAGTGTCTGGACTCCCTGGGGGTCCATCTGTGCGATCATTATGCTGGTTTTTTGCTCACGACGTCATGTCTTCTCATGTGGATGGCTATCTTTGTGTGCTAAACATTACCTCCTCTAGAACTTATCTCAGGAAATTCCTCACTGCTTTTAAGATAAAAGATTTTGCATTTCATCAATCTTATTAGTTCTCTTCAGCAGGATTGTATTGATTTCCCCAAGAGGTCCCCAGAATCATCTCTGTAAACCCTTTTCTATTCATATTATAGGTTAAAGATAATTTCCATAATATATTGAAATCATGTTTATTTTTAGTATTTACCTATGTCTCCTCTTATCTAGGCTAAAAATTTCTTGACCCTTGGACACTCTTTGTATGACAGTTTCAGACTATCTGAATACTCTGGAATTCCTTTCCAGAGTATAACAACAAGCTCTCTGATGTGACATAAAAACAAGCTCTCTGATGTGAACATTTCAAAATATACATAGACAATTACCTCACTGATTTAATGCCTAACATCAGCTTACAAATTGATAGCCTTGCCATGCTTTGGTTGATACAGATTTTGTGAGCAGTTAAAACCTCCAAGTCTCTGAACTTGAAGGAACTAGCATCCAAGTTTTTCATCTCTGATGCTAGTTTTATCTTTTTATGTGTAAAGGTAGATGTTACATTTATATTCACTGAATTTTGTCTTGTTAATTCTGGCTTCTTGTTGCAGTCCATCTAGATTTTTTTGTTTTGTTTACCTCTCCTAACCTGATGTCATTTTCAGATTTATTTAACCAGATTATTTATGAAAAATTGTTTAATGACATGTAAAACAGTGATATATCTTCCCTTTAGAGAGCACCAATCATCAAATATTAACACATTTTGAGTAAAGTAAAATGAGCTTCAAATTTGCTTTATTGGGTATAAATCATGGTTTTATCCTCAAGCACTTTCTCAAAGGCCTTCCTGAAATCAAAATGTATTTTCTGTGGCATCACAGATTTATCAATCTGATAACCCCAGTTATAAAAGAACTGAAGTTAGGTTGGCATGATTTACTCTTAATAATCCCATAGAAGCTCTAAGTGACCATTGCTTGCTTTCCTTTATTACTTTTCTCTCTTCTCTTTCTTCCTTAGCTTCATTTTTTAATGACTCTCAATTCACTTTCTTATGATTATAAACTATGCTGGGATCTCTTTGCCCTTAAAATATAGATATAATTGGCTTGAACCCTCATTCTGTGTCCTGTTGAGCATACATTTCTATGCTCCCAAAGATTTCTGTAAATTCTCTGCAGCTCATACTCTCAGGGTCATCTCTCATGCTAAGCTTTTGTCTCCACTGAATTACTTGAATTTATGGATGGTCTTTCTATCCCTCTTCTACAGTATGTTCATCCATAATTGGAAGTTGATTTTACCCCTGATTTTAAGACACACACACACACACACACACACACACACTCACTCACTCACTCACTCCCTCCCTCCCTCCCTCCCAGCGCACACACATTCTCTTTCTAGTATTCTCAGGCAAGGCTTACTTATTTATATATCTGATAAACCTAATCGAAAATTGGGAAGACTGAGTATATAGGGTACAATATATTCTAGGAGGCTTTGATATGTATATTATAAATCATCAAAATCCTTTAGCAACTTCATCTCACTGTTCTTCCATCTCCTTTTGCTCTACTTACTCTGTTCTCCCTCACACTCCTAAATTCCTGTTCATTTGAATGCAGTAACAGTTTCTATTACTCCACCATTGACTTGGCTTCTGCTAATTTGCACCCTCAGATATCACTATCTATCTTAAATTACTCCTTAAGGTATTGTCTTTGATATAGATGGTTCCTTTCCTAAGAATTCTGTAGTCAGCTCTCTCTCTTCCTCTCTTTCACACACCCACACACAATCCTATTATATAATAATCTATTATAAACTTTTTTTTGCATGGAGGGCATCAACTTTATGGATACAGATTTCTTCTGGGCACACATTCTGCTTTCAAAAGCAGTGGATTACATTTTTAGTTTTTGTCTTTGTTTTGCATATAATGGACAAAGGTCTGTGTCTCCTCCTTTCCTGGAATCTTATCTTACTATATCATCGAAGCTTCTGCTCATTTTAGACTTCTCTCCCTGACAGTCTTATATAAATCCCTGCTACATTTTTTTGTATTTATTCTCTATTGCACAGTACCAATAATTCTTCTGCTATCACAATGTTTTCTTTAGTGGCCTTATTCTTTTCCTCTTTACTATGATTTTTTCAAAATAACATTTTTTCATCCCTACTGAGGTCTATTTTATATGTCAGGTAAATGAAATGTTACTCTACTTTTGATTAACAGTCTGCACCCATATATTTCCTGAATTCTTAATTCTTTCTTATTTTTTAAAAATTATCTTCTTTGTGCTGAGACTGCCCCCAGAGACACAATTATGATCAAGTATATATGAGAACAGACTAAGACCACCAAATAGTGCAAACATAGTTTGTAGGATAGGATAAATACTGCCAACCAACATGGTGTTAATATATAATTAAATATCAAGGATTCCTGACTTAGCAGTTTTAAAGGTATCTAGTTCCT